ACTTGCAAATAATGTATTGGATGAATTACAAATATTTATTGTTTAAAATATTTGGTATGTAAGATAAAATATACATATTTTTCTTTTAAATTTGAACTTTAGTCTCTAGGTGAATTATTTGATTCCGGTAATTGACAAATCAATATGCAGTTTAAATTTTAATTAAATTTATACCATTTAAATACAATAAATTTATCAAATAAACTTGTTATAATTAATAATTATAAGAATAGTCGATAAATTAGCCATGAAATATTCAAAGTTGTATATATAACCAGAAAATGGTTCTAACATTACTTTTTATAAAAGCAAATTATTGCATACGATGAAAGCAAATGATGAAAGCAGATCAAAACTATTAACATTTTTTTTTAATTTGCACCATTACAAAAGGAAAAAGTGATCAAATAATTTTTTATTGTTTAAAAAATATTCAGTATATAGAAATAAATATAAAATATTAAATTTTTTTCATTAAATTGAAAAGTGTGACAAATCTATATAAAATTATCTAATTCCATAGATTAATACAACAGTAACCACTTTGACCTTATTTGTTAATGTACTTAGATTAAATAGAAAAAAATTAATTCAATAAATTTTAAATATTTAAGTGAAAAGAAAAAAAGAAAGAAAAGCTAGTATGCTGGGACTAAATTGTAAAATAGCGTATTTCTATTTTTATCCAATTGGAAACTGTGATATCTCTACATTAAATTATCCAATAACTTCGATCGACAGATCAATAAATTCATTAAATTTATTTAAATGTGATTAATTTATTCAGAACATTCAAAATAAGCATAATCGATTTGTAAATTAGGGAACATTCAGAACAACCGCTGTAACGTATACTGGCAAATAATACTAATAATAATCTACATAAAAGTATCGCTCGATAGAAAATTATTATGAAATATTAAATATTATCCATTAAAATAATATTAGTTGTAATACGTTTAATTTATCTCTTTAATATTATAACTATACCAATTTTCGAATAAAATGTTTAATGATATTTTATATTTTATGTAAATTTAATTATTTCATATATAAACATATATATATATATATATATATATATATATATATATATATATAGAATTTTATAATACATCTGCATGTTAATATGCTCGTTACTTGAATAGGTACATTTTTTAATAATACTATGTATCAACATTAATTTGCTGATATTTTTAAAAAAAAAAATCTATTAAACTATCAATCGGCTTTCATAGTTACACAATTTTACTGCATTTAAAATAAAACTGTGTGTATAATTTTAAATATTTAGTAAAAGTTCAAGTTTTATTGAATAATTTAGATTTTTTTTCAAATCAATGTATAATTGTTCTAATTGGACAATTTATCGTTTTATGGCTCATTGCATTACAACTTTCGTTCTACCTGTGATAAAAGAAATACGTTAGATCAATTGTTTATTTAATACTTTATGGCAATCACATCGAATTTAATTTCAAATTGAAAATATGGTTTTTATAAAGGAATAAATTCTTTTTTAACTATGGACAAAAACACTTTTAATACATAAGCTAAGCTAAACAAAAAATTGACTACAACGTTTTTATGATAGTGTGATAATTATTACTAAAATCATTAGGTTACTGCATTAATGTTGCAATATATGTATATATTTAGGGCTAACCAATTAAGAATAATTATAATTATATTTTCCCAGTTACATATGAATCAGTATGAAATAATTAAATTTACATAAAATATAAATGTATATATATATATATATATTGCAACATATATATTTCATATTGTACTGAATTGATTGTATATATAATACAATATAATGTAAGCATATATAGTTTATAATTTAGTAGTAATTGTCACTAGCATAGGAAAAGCATCCATTACAAACAATAGTTGAACAAATTATATTAATCATTATATTTACAAATTTCATTATCTTTTAATGACGACTATCTTATACTTTAAGTTTGTTGATAAAAACAAACATTTATTTAAAAATTTCATACACGCACATATGCAAATTTATTTTTTTTACTGCTAGAATCAAAAACAAAACTTTTAATTAATGTCATACTACAATATAACGATTCGTAATATATTTTAAAAGATTATTTGCCCAGTTTTTCATTCGTATAATAAATATTACTTTGTTTCATAGGATTTCTATAATATTAAAGGATTAAAATAAAAATTATGCATTTATTAAACTTGTTTTATAAATAAATTTTTGTACTACAGCTATATTTCATTTGCTCAGATATCATTATATCTTATATAATATATATAAAGTATGTTATACCTATAAATATCATAACGAAGATTTAAAAAACCATAGTAAAGGTATATTCATGCAAATCTTAATATCTAATATATTAATTTTTTAATTTTATATATAATATTGAATTATATAATAATTCATAAAATAATAATATATTAATTTAAAATTTAAGATCTAATGGCCTCTTGGTCTAGGGGTATGATTCCTGCTTTGGGTGCAGGAGGTCCCGGGTTCAAATCCCGGAGGGGCCCTTTTTTTTCTCATTAGCAAAAGAATTTCATTTGCGATAATAAAATTTTAATATATTATTTTTATAAAAACAACTTTAAAGTATTAATGTAAGCAACATAAGAAAAGATAATAATGAAGATTATAATGAAAATTTTGTTTATTTCATTCATATTCTTAATTTGTTATCGATGCTATTACACTAATTAATAATATTGTTATAAACAATTTTTGTAAATTCATTCGTTCGTTATAAAATTTTTTATTGAAAAATAAGAAATAGACGTATTATTGAATATTATAAAGTCAAATATAATTAATAGAAAGAGAAAACATATTCTTTCGTATTAAATGTAAAGCTTTAAATATAAATTTTGTTATGTTTATTTTGTATTATTAAAGGATTTTTCATGGAAATGTACAGTACTTTTTCAAGATCGTAATTAATTTTATTCTAAAAGAATTTTATTTATACAATGTAATAATTGGACTATTTATAATAAAATAATTACTTTATTAAAATAATAATTTTCTAATAAAGTCGAGAAAAAATATTAGCAATTACTGAAATGTATATAATAAACAATATCTATATTTACGAACAGAGTAAAATCGATATTTTATTGATAGAAAGAAAAAAGTTTATAATTTATACATAAAAGAATGTATTAGAAGTAATTTATAAATTAATAAGTATAAATAAAGAAATACACTGTTCAATTAACTTTCAAACTCTATGTATGAATTACTTTCAGTTTGTATATATATATATATATATATATACATAATTTTGTAATCAATTCGACACAAAATATTGTAATTTCATAAAATGAAATTAGAAAGAAATATATCTTATACATTAATGTATATATACATATATATATATATATATATATATATCGATCTTCTTTATTATAAATATTTTTTTCTTTGTGTATACACATGCTCATACACTAAGAATAATGACGTAAAAATGTTGCGAAATTAGTATTGAAAATGAAATCTTCGTCAATAAATAAAGAAGAGATTGTAGTCGAAAAAAGCTTCATTACTTCATTTTCATTGCAATATGTCATCATTTTAATAGATTTTTTTTTCTTTAATATAAATCTATAGATTTAAAATATATTATAATCAGAACTTACCTAAAATATTATTCTAAAAATATTGTCTATTAAGTACGTCGAGCGTTGTGATTAATTAATCAAAGTATTATATTCGTAAATATATTTCGTGAACTTTACACTATTTTTAGTTTTCTAATATTCTAATATTCTAATAGACAATTCTTCACAATATTCTCTGTATATTATAGTACTATTATGTATGTAATTAAAGTTTATGTAGTGGATTGAGACATTATTAGATATTATTAGATATTCTTTGTTAATCCTGCAATATGGATAGTAAGCGAATTTTTGTCACAAATCAGTAGAAATTTCTGTAAAGATCTTGGCATACACATCTTATCCTAATGAAACTAGTTCAATAAGATCGTTTAAAATTGTCATAATTAATATAAACTAGATTTAATTATTAACTTTACTAACTTTGGTGGTGTAATATTCAATGTAATTTTAAACACCCTGATTAAAACTGCAAAATTGTAATTTCTCTTTTCGAAGTATCGAAGATATTTTTAAAAGAATGACGTTTGGAATGGCGGAAAGAAGAAATGGAAAGAACGAATTTTTCCAAAACATTCGACCAATATCGCTTAAATGTGTGCTGCATTAACGAAGGAGGGATCGCGTTCTACACGAGCGCCTATGAAGTTTCGAGCGAAGGAGATTGAAAGGTGGCGCACTTTCGTGGCTGAAGGGAAGAAGGCATAAGAATACGGCAACAGCGCATCAATCATCGTAATCAAAACAGCTGTAAACAGCTGGGTGGCCGATAAGGACAATTGTTCGTCAATAGATGAACAGGGACGTAATAAGTCGGAAGGGGATAAGTATGGTGCGCGCGCACCGATTTCACGAGCCCAATTCTTACAATCGCACTTCTTTCCCCGCCCCTTTCATTGGCCGTCGAGTGCCCGTCACTCAGGCGAAGCCTTGACGCTACCACGCAATGTATTCTTCTCGCGTATTATGACGTCGTCGTTGGCGCTATCTGGTGAGCGTTGCTGACCGTCAACCGACCGTTTTTAGTCGAGGGCTTTGTGAAAGGAAAAGCCGCGACTGAGAGGAGTACAGCTGGGCTGCATTGACGGCCGTGAGAGGGGGAGGGCAAGAAGAAAAGAGAGGGAACGAGCCTTGGCGATTCGGTCTCGCATTTCGATTCCCCAGCCCCAGCTGTATATGCATAGTGCACAGTGTAGACAACGGACTACGGCTCGTGCACGGTCATATACTTCAGGAGGTGCCAAACCGTTACTGCACCTCGATCCAGTCGTTTGGAGTCGCTGCGCGCGTGTCAGTGCTGTGTGTTCCTTTTTCTGCAGTCCTTTTTTATTTTTATTTTTTTTATTTTTTTTTTTTTTTTTTTTTTTCATTTCGTTTATTTTGACCCTTGGGTGCATTCTAGCGAAACAAGGATCTATCGAGAGTGCTAGAGTTTAGCCATCGAAGAAAAGTGCGTCGCCCAGGGGGCCGCCGCAACCTCGGTAACAAGGTGTTTCCAGTAGTGACGATTCGTAGGTGAGTTTTGACCTGCTCTCTTAACCTCAAAATCACTCGGGGCAAGAGTTATGTCTCGGATATTGTCAAGCTGGTTGCGAACTGGAATCATGCAAAGTTATAATTACGCTCTAAAGAAACGAGTTATCGATTTTCCCCGCGTAATCATAAGAGCAATTTATTTTATAACTGGGCTTTTATATGGAGCGTACGCTCTTTATGTGCAATAACGATTAGATTGATAAGAAGTAGATTAATAGATGGGCTCGGCTTATGATAAAGGCTGGATGGGTGAGAAATGGCAAATTTCTGGACAAAATATCAACGCTGCCTTTGACCAACAGGTTACACGGAATCCCGAGGATCTCGAGTCCTGCACTGTTATTACACTATTTCAATCAGTTAACAAACTTGCTTTTACGTTCTCAATACATTGTTCAATTCCACTGCTGACCGAACAATTTCATAGTCAATTTAAGAGTTCACGGTTACGTTAGGCGATTACAATTTTCGTTTAACGATCTGTTTTCTCTTTATAACCACGTTCATTGTTTTCCTGCCTCTACACCACTCACTGCTCTACTTCATTTTCTCTCGGACTCCTGCATCACCGTTGCCATTTCTGCTCCGACATGCGCACACGTATATTTCCTTTTATAAACTTGAATCGCACTTGGCTGTGTCCAGCACCTTCTTTTCGACTAGGTACCATTTCGTCTAGGAATTCTTTGTGTCCGTGGCTCGATCGTTTCATCTTTATTGTTAAGCATTTCATACTTCTTCTTTTCTTGATACCTTGCTATTTTATTTCCGTCAACGTTGTTATTCTTACTTACCCGCTAAATTCATCTACCATCTACACTCTGCTTCTCTGATTTTTCATTTATTGACTTTACCTCTCCTTATTCTCCCTACATTTCTCTTCGTTTACCCCCTATTTTTGTGTGTTTGACATTGATAATATTAATTATTTTTTCACTCTCCTCGTTCTCACTACCCCCCCCCATATCCCACCTCCCCCTCCCC